GGGTGACGGCGCCGCGCCTCCAATCGGGCTTTGGTTCAGGGCAGGGGCGCGGAGGAGCCCGGGAGGAGGGGGAGCTGGGGTTGGTGCGCAGCCAGTCGCTTCCCAGCGCCTGGGAGGGAGCCCCGGACGCGGCTGCCCGTGAGCTGCGGTGTGAGCACCGCTCCATGTGGCGGGCGCGGAGCGTCTCTTGCCCGGGCAGGTGGGCAGCCCCTCCGCCCCACGGGTGGGTGCACACGTTCTAACCGGCCACGATGGAGTCGCGTTGTGCGCGGACAGATTTCCACGCTCGGGGGCCGTTAAAGTCAAGGGCCTTTAAAGTTAGTGATTCGCCTGTAGTTTCCTGCCACAGACCGAGGTGTTTAGTGAATGAGGAGTTCTCACTAACTGCTGAGTAATGCTTTGCTCTCGCCACCTCCCAAGCTCAGGCTTTTCATACATATTAGTGTACTTAACAGCGCAGATTTCATGTTTTATTTGTCACTGTTACAACGGATGTTGAGCTGTGTGTTTGGGTCTGCTTGCTGAATTCAGAAACGGAACAGCTTGTGGTTATTTGTAATTTACTTTAGGCTGTCAGAGCTCTTTAAATGTTTATGATACAAGCAACTGCTGAGCCACTGTAGGATGCCGGAGGTCCAGTTCATGTGCTTAAGCATTGAAATTCCCTTTCAAATATTTTTAAAAGCCTTGTGTGTTATTTAGTTATTGGAATTGGTTTTGACAAGTGAAAAAATCCCAGTTTTCATGTAATGTGTCAATTACACCCAAATCCATAATCAGCTATAGCAATGACTTGTGGCATGTGTTAGAGTAAGTAAAGCAATTACTGTAATGGCAGTAACTACTTCCAGCCTCATTTCAATGTCCTTCTATATATACGTATCCAGTTTAAGTTGATGGTAACTCAGAACAAATGGAAAATTCATGTTAATTCATTTGTGTTATCCTAGAAATGAGAAGGCTAAATAATTAAGTATTGATTTCAGACAGACTACCTTAAAATACAGATGTACACAAAGCCATTATTGTTACCTACTTCCAGAGTTTGAATTTACAGTAGTATTAGTATATGTTATGAGCTTTAGCTTACATTGTTCACATCTAAAGTAAGAATTTGTGCATTAGTGTCTACTGTGTCTTGTGTTAAGGAAGCCTCTGTCCTTTCCATAACTGCCCTTTGAGAGTATTTAATGATAAATGTGGTTATTAAAGGGAATAACTTTCCAGAGCAGTCACATTTCTCTTAGAATTCCTTGGTTTTGTTTCTCCCTCTCCCTCCATTTCCTTTTGGTGAGCTTTATTATTTTGCATGTTTTGTTAGAATAGGGCAGACTAATACTTCTCTATGACAGTTAAGCTCACAAGGATGGGTGTTTTTCACTGGATAACATTAATCTCCAAATGCATGTAGCCAAAAAACGTTTTGTTTCTCAGGGCATCAAGTTGTCAGCAGAGGTCAAACCATTTGTTCCAAAACATGCGGCGGTAACTGTGGCATGGTCAGAACCTTCAGAAGCATGTGTCTTTCCTAGGTACTTAACTACATGCTACCCATTTGTTCAGGAACCATCTTTGGATAAGTATGTATATTTTCTGAATCTTATTTCTTGGGAATTTTAACCTTCCAGTTTTGGACATTGAATACGTCTTAGGACGTCAAAGCTCTGATACATTAATATTCTAACTGTAGAAATGCTTGTGCATTGTTTTCATGATTTAGGATTTTGCATTTATGTTCTTTGGGCATATATCTGGTACCTTGTCTCTTGCTCCCAAGGGTGTGTATAGTTATAGAGTGTTAAGGAGGTTTTGTTGGCCTGTAATGATTGATCTGGCTCATTTGTTCTTTGGAAGGAGCTGAATACAGTCCTTGGGTGAAAGAATGATTGTGTTATGGCAAGGCTGAGGTAAATATAGTCATATGAAAGAAAGGGGAAGATCCTCCCAAGAAGGCTTCTCATGCTATAAAATATTTAAATAATATATGGGGCTCCTCCTGGATCTCTACAACCCATACATCCCCAGAAAGGCAGTTTTAGTAAGAACGCTACTGGTTTCTAAAATTTTCTTTTTCTAATAAGGCCTGAGGGGGGGGAAAAAAAAAAAAGGCATTTGTGGCAGACTTCTAAAAGTATTGTTAACCCCAGAGGAAGCTAGAAAAAAGCCTAAATAGTAGGGTAGGAAATAAGTCTTCTAAGGATCTGGTGATATTACATAGTGCTCTAGTTCTCAGCTTCTCAGAATTCTTTAAGCATTGGATTAATTTTGCAATTAGTGTGAAGGTATTGGTGTATCCTGGCAAGTTCAGTTAGAGTCTTAGCAAGCACATTCATTGTAGGCCTTCATTTTACCCTCAATGTTTTCAATCCATTTTGATTTGTAACAGAAATTTAATACTGAGGTGAGTATGGCCTGATCTATGCATTAGAAAAAGCACAGCATTAGCATTAAATCAATTAGCATTAAAAAACCCTGGCAGACAGCAGCAGTATTCTAATGAATGTTTTGCCTTTTTGAGACTGAGCCATAATTTTTTTTTTTTTTACTCTCATTTGTTCTTTTCTTCTCTGTGTGTAAACTATGATTGTAAGAGTTGTTTTGACTACAGTCTATCAGAATTGCAACAGGCAGTAAGAAATGTCTGAAGTCTTTTGTTCTGATGGGAAGTTTTATCTGTTTTTCATTATCTGCCCAAGATTCAGAGGTTGGTCACTTCATGGTGAACAGCTTTGAAAACTAAATGCAACTTTCTTAAGCTGAGAAATTTCCTTTCTTCCTAATCAAGTTGCGATCTCGGCATACAGTTTCTGTACAAAGTTTAGGAGAAAATTGGAAGGGAACTTTGAGTATACTTTTGGAGAGAAGGTGTGCCCCAGACAAATTGTGTTTTCATAAACTGTGATGGTTAAGTGCAAGTCAGTTAATGATTCTCTTACAATTCTGTATTTTATTTCATACATGTTTTATACCCGATAAGGTGCTGTATTCCTACTTTGTTGTTATGGCATTTTAAGATAGGTTTTGTTCTTTAATATTTGTATTTTTGCAGTTATGTATGTAATGCATGTTGTGTTGTTACACTGTGCTTTTGGTTTGTTTCACAAGAAAAAGCCTACTGAAAATAAGTACAAAGAATCTTGGTAACCTTAAACAGAAATGAGGACTTTAACTGCAAAGCAGACTAGCTTTGAAACTTGGAAAACAGGTAACATCTGTGTTTAAAAATATTTGCTAAATTACATGGTTTCCCAAAACAATTATTTTTAAAGCAGTCTATAGCAGTGACTAAATACTTAATAGTAGTAACATGGAATACTTTTCTTTTGAAATACAGCTTTCTTGTTAAACAAATTATTCAGGCAAAGGATGATACATTTATCTAGGGAACAAGTATGTGCTGAGGATTTGCACTGGGATGACTTCTCATCTCTTTCTCAATGTCCATCACATAGTGTTCTGGGAGATCCTGCCTTCCGTGAATACTCCAGCTGCTCTTACTCACCTGATGTTGTTCCAAATGTACACCCAGTAGCTGGCTTACAATATCATTTTAACAACTCGACACACTATAATGGTTCAGGAGTAGTCAGTGAATCTGCTGAGCAAACGTATCCAATCAGACAAGAAAGTAAGAATCTTTCAAAGGTGAGCAAATACATGTTTTTAAAAAATTAAAATCTTATTTTAAATGAATACTTATAAATGTTTGGTTTGGTTTTTTTTTTTTTAAGTGAATAATCACTTTCTGTTCTTGCAGTGATAATGAATGGCATTTAAAGAGGATGGTGGTAATGTGCCCAACTTCAGATTTTAAAAAGTTAATGGAATTCTATGATTCGAATTAATACAGTTTTTCAAGCAGTATTTTTGGAACATGAGGGGAATTTAATTATTTTTCCTCAGGAAGCAGCATCTGGGGAAAAAAAAAAAAAGACAAGACCATTCATTTGTGAACTGTGCTTTTCTTTGTTCACTAGGCTCGCAGGGGGGGAGGGGGGGGAAAGGGCTTTTTCCCTGAACCTGAGAGACCTGATGGCTGCAATCAGCTATGTGACTGATAAGTGATGGGACCACATCTGTTGTTGAAAGATTTCTAAGACGTGCTACAGGTTTAAAACAATCCACAAGGGAGTAGGAACTTGTGTTGGTGTGGAGAGGGAAGAAGTGTTCACTTAGAAATGCTGTCTTTCAGTCAGAAGTAAAACGGATGTTTGGCGGACGAGTTCTATCATTTTTTGTGTGCCTGTTCGCGGATAAGTTTCCGGAAACTTGGATAATAGTTTCAAACAGAAAACAGACAAACTCCTCAAAATATAAAAATCAGGTTAAAAATTCAAATGTATTACTAACCCATTTCCCTCTGTGGCTAGTCAGTGTGTCTCTTGGATTTGTAAGGCTGCTATTGTTTCCAAAAGGAACATTCAAGTAATCTCTTCTCCAGTCATATCCTTCTGGTGGACCTTACTCCCTAGGCAGAGACCCGGTAACTTCACTGCGGCCAAGCCTGTGTAGAGGAAGTTGTGAGACTAGGTCCCAGGCATGCATTGCAAGACATAAGATACAAAGGCTGGAGATCTAAAATTAGTAGTTTTCTGTCTGAGAGAAAAAATAAACACTGAATCTGCCTAGGAAGATGGTGAGCTCAGCATTAGCACAGGTGATATAATACGAAGAAACTCAGTTTAGCTTCTGGGAGGAGTTCTGTGATCTTTGTTGAGCTGAGCTGTGTACTGCTTGATAATCTTTTTGTGTTTGTTCCCTGTCATTTATATTTTTGTTACCTTGAAGAGCAATGCTTGATCTTTGCAGCTTTGCATTAATTTGATCTTATCTCCTAAAGCTTTAACAATTTAGCTTTCGAGGTCAGGAAATACCTTGTCCTCTCACTCAAGAAAATAATACTGCTTTCAGATGTACTTTGAATTTATTCCAGCATCCTGTAATCAGAAAGAGCTAAGCCACTGGTCTAGGCTGATGCAGTATACTCTGCATAGATGCAAGCCTACTGCTTGTTCCTTGCCTGCTGTACTGAGTTCTGAGCCTAGCTTTGCCATACTATGTTTCTGAGGAGAATCCACGATTTTCAGGCTTTTTACAGTATAGGTGGATATGTTTCCTTTAATGGGATCATATAGGTGTATCTTTTCTGTTTACTTTCTATCTGCTCCAAGTGGTTTGGATGTTGTGACATCAGTCTTGCCTAGTTTTTCTCATAATGTATAACTTAGTCAAAAGATTGGAATGCTTTAAGATTTTAGTCCTGTTGTAGAAGAAACTCGGTTTTAGATAATCAGACTGGATGATTTAAGACCAAACAATTTTAAACTATCAGAAATGCTCTGATTAATGAGATCATAAAAGTACAGTTGTCTAGAAATGTATGGAATAATCTCTGTTGCTTGGGCTATAGTATATGCTAAAAATGGCACAGTTGACAAGGAAGAGAAAATTCAATAACAAATCTCTAACTGGCTCTTCCTGGTTTTATTGGTTATTTGTGGTTATGATGTACTAACTGTTTATGTTGTATTAACTTGATTGTCAAGCTCCAGATTCAGAGATAGTTAACTGTAACTCAAGTTGAGACAAACTCGATAACTTTACAAAGTTCAAGTAAAATCAACTAAATATGTCACAAATACTTGCAGCAGAGGAGATCGAAAGGAGGTGAGAAAAAATTAGACAAGAAAAGGCATGATGGAGATGACTCTTCTGTCAGAATTATGAACAGGACTTCGTTCCACACCTCTGCATGTAGCAGAGATTCCATGAAGCCAGGTACAAATATGTTGTTTGGTTAGAATACATTGAATACATGTAAAATGGGTGACACTGCTATAGCCTCCACTTTGTGGCCATCTTTCTGAATCTAGAATAATTAAGGGACAGGATTTCTTTCTTGTGTGACTTTTTGACAAGGGATAGTGACTTACGTCTTTTTGCTGATTGAATGAAGTTATGTAAACTGATAAGAAAAGTTTCCTAAGCAGGCATTTTCAGTTGCTTGTTGAGCCAGTGTTGTGTATACACGTTGGTTATGATTCCTGGGTTGTTGGGTTTTTTTAATACGAGCTATGTGTAGCAATAGTTCTTGTGATGATGACTCTAGTTACGTCAACTAGTGTAGTATGAAACATACCTAGAAATGATCACAAGCAAGTTTAATTATTTAGAGTTTACATGCTTTGTTCAGACAGGTTCAATAAAACTGCAAACAAGAAGTCAACTCAAACTCCAAAAACAGAGTCTCTTCCTGTACCAGCATTTGAAGCTACCGTTCTGGATTTCCACAAGTCACAGAGTTTGGGAAGCAATGAGATATTGAATGTGCAGCGTAAAAGTGGACCAGTATGTTCAGCAGAAAGTAACATTATGTGCCTTAGTCAACCACAGATGTCTCCTTTGTTGAACACAGAGGTTAGCTGATGCTTTCATCTTTCAGAACTCATAAAAATAAAACTTGTCTGAAGGTCAAGCATTTCTGAAAGCAAGTATTTTGCATTTAGTATGGTAGTTTAAGACCTGTTTAGGTGCCTCGCAAGCAAAGAGTTTCATAGCTAGAATTTTTATGGTTCTTTTTGTAGATGGTGGTGCCAGTGCTTGCTGTCTGTGCTTTTACCCTTTCTCGCTATTCATTCCTTGTCTGTGTTGCCAGTAGACAGGGGAAAGCAAAGTACTGTTAGAACTTAGATAGGTACTGCTATGGTCTAGACTTCTAGCTTGCCTATATAGAGCACATATATTCACATAGTTTTCTTAACAGCTTCTTATTTTCTCCCTCACCTGGAAATAATAGGTAAGCAGTCACCCAATAGTTTTAACAGATTTAAAAAAAAAAAAAAAAAAGTCTGGAATATTGTATTTAGTTGCTTTGTGCTAAAGAATAAAAATAAGAAACTGGATGCCAGAAGGAAGTAATATTGTTAAGACATAAGCATTTAATTTTATTCTTCTCCTTGTTTTCCTTGTTTTCATCTTTGTTAGTAAATACATTATTAGCACATTCAGCATATTCAGTATATTCACATATATTGAATCAGAGTTTTCAACAGTGATGAAAGATTTGAATGATCCAAACAGCGTAATATTTCCAGTGCCTCTCTGTGGAAAACTGCCTGTGATAGAAAAAAGACTTTTCTGCTGTCACTCGAGTTTCTTTTTTCATTGCTAGTTTGAGTTTGGTGATGGACCTTGTGTTTAAGGTACTTGAAACATTAAAACTTTTTCTTGTTAGTTCTTAGAATCATTGTTTGAATGCTTTTGTAAAATGTAAGAAGACATCATCTTGCTTGTACAGCAGTGGAGCGGCATCTGTCTAGATTTCATAATGCTGTAAGTTTGAAATGATGCTTCCATGAAGAAAAGCAACAAAAAAAGTCAGGCTGCAAAATTCCCTACCTTCATCTGTGCACGGGTTGAGGATTTTTTAATTTATGAGTTTATGTTCAGCTCTGTTTAGGTCAGTGATTTTACTCCTACTTATATAATACCTGACTGTCTATTTTACAGGAAGATATTTCTGCGGAAAACAAAGCTTCATCAAAAACTTTACATGAAACAGTAACCAGCTTAATTTCTTCTCCATTTGATGGTAGAGGTAAGTGCTCCAGGCACAAATTATTTCCCTGTATTTTAACTGCTTGCATCTCATCAGTTTGTAAAACTAAAGTTTTACAAGGAGGAACTGCTTATATGTAAAGCAAAAAAGGAATTAAATGGCAAGCTCATTACAAAAGAAAAAAAAACAACAGACAGTAAAGCTGTATTGGTTTCTTTCAGATGAGATGACCACTTTTATTTCATTCTTGCTTGTAGATTTCATCAGCAGATCAAAACTGGAATTATCTTCCTTCTCTGTTGTTTCATTGATGCTCAAGGGCAAATATTGCTGTAGTTGCCTCCCATGCTGTTTTAAGAGGAGAAAAAATAATGCATATTGATTATTGCAACTTTCTTGAGTAATTTTCAGATTTTTTTCAAGTATAAATGAGGTAAATAATTGATCAGTCTTGATAAGCAGATTTGTTTTAAATAGCTGCCAGCCTAGAGTCTCATAGGTACCTAAAAATTCCATGGCATATGTTATTTATGTCAAGTCTATTAAACAAAGAAGGATAACTGTAGAGAACTGTGATGCTGAAATAGCCCCTTTGTTTTGTTTACTTGTCATCAGGCTGTGGGGATGCAGAACTTTTTTTTTAATTGCTATAAACTATCAAGTGGCTAGTTTCAAGTAAGTAAGTATTTAAATTTAACTGAAATACTTAAATCCAGAATTGTGTGAAAAAAGATTCTGTGCTGCAAGCCTCTAGTCTTGGAGGTATTACATGCATTATGCATTGGATTGTCTTAAGTGCCTCTCACTGGATTTCTGCATGTACATGGACACATACCAGTCTGGACAGTTGGGTCCTTATCTTCTCACTGACTTCAGTAAGGATTCAGAAGGGACAGGCTGATCTACTGAAGTGTCTTGGAGGGCCCTCTGATAATGCTTTTTCCCCAAACACTATCCTCAGTTCCTATCCCTTAGAATAAAGTAACAGTCTGTGGTGGGTTGACCTTGGCTAGTGGCCAAACTCCCACCTAACTGACCTCTCACTGTCCCTCCTCAGCAGGACAGGAGGAGAAAATAAGATTAAAAAGCTTGTGGGTCAAGGCAAATACAGGGAGATTTCACACCAGTCACCTATCACGAGCAAAGCAGATTTGACTTGGCAAAGGTTAATTTATTGCCAATTAAAAATGGGATAGGATGGTGACAAACAAAGACAAAACTAAAACCACTTTCCTCTCAGCCTCTCTTCTTCCCAGGCTTATCATCACTCCTTCCTTCCTGACTCTTACCTCCTCACTGCCTTGAGTGGCACAGGGGGCTGAGCGTTGCTGTCAGTTCATAACAGCTCCTTCCTTTTGCTCCCTCCTCTGCAGGGCTGCAGGGGGGGGACAGCCTTCGTCACCATGGTCTTCACCATGAACTGCAGGGAACTCTCTGCTCCAGCACCCAGAGCACCTGCTCCCCCTCCTTCTTCACTGACCTTGGTGTCTGCAGACTTGTTTCTCACATTTTTTTCTTATCCTTCCCTCTCCCAACTCCTGCAGTGTTTTTTACCCTTTCTTAGCTGTGTTGCCACGGAGGCACCACCAGTGTCACTGTTGGGCTCAACTGTGTCTGTCTGGTGTTGGGTCTGTTTTGGAGCCGGCCAGCGCTGGTGGTGTCCATAGTCTCACAGAGGCCACCCTTGCAGTCTTCTCTGACTACCAACACCTTGCCATGTAAATCCCCTATGCTATTTAATTGCTCATTGAAGGTTTTTCTCATTCTTACTGAAAAATTCATATTTTGTTCTGCATTTACTGTCTATTAGGAATATTTACAACGTTAACAAAGTGTGAGTTCTTTCAAAACATTGATACCTCTGAGTGGTAGTGGGTGAAACTCCTGTAGACTGAGGCAGGTTAGGAAGTCTTTCAGCTGAGAGGTTTGTAGAAAGTACTGATGTGGCCTTGTATGTGAAAGCTGTATGATAGAGTGGGATAAATCTGAAAGGAATTTGAATTTCATTAGTTTAAAGAAAAATAGCTTAGAAAATGAGCATGGAATTACTTGTATGTAGTTAACATGACACAGTATAGTTTTCCAATTATAATTTAATTTGGCTAAATGTATGTATATAGTGCTGGACAATGTATGTAGCAGTTACCATTCTAGAAAACTTTCTGGAGAAATTAAATGTGTGACTGTCTTATTTCAGTCCTTCCTCAGAAAGAGTATGGTGCTCTGCTTTGTTTGCTAGTCCTTAATTAATTCATTACTGATCCTTTTGAATACTTGAGAAATATTTTTGAGACATCTTTGTATATAACTTCTTTTCCCCAATGGCATTTCCTGAAACACCTGTAGATGGCTCTGCTCAGCCACGCGTGTCTTGGGCCACGGTACTTTCACAGCCCCCAAAGAAAATTGTGTCGTCACCAGCATCTGAAGGTCTTTCTAGAAGCAAAGGGAAGCAGGACAGTGAAGCAAAGGTACTTGAGAATTGTCTTCTTTAAACTAATTTCTGTCACTGTGTGATTGTGTCTCTTGATGTGAGACATTGCCATTTTTTTCCTAGGCTTTGTACAGTGTCCATTCTAATGTAGTTTTTAAGAAATAATGTAAGGCTACCTTGTCCTTATTAGAATTTTTCTTCTCTTGATGTGGGAAAGAATAACAAGATATCAAAAAAACAATTCTACACCAGCAACATAAACTTCCAAAACAGGTGACTTGGATATGTTTACTTTTAGGCTGAACTTTTTTCAAATTCCTGGTCTTCAGAATGAGA